TCTAGGGGACGGGGTGGTATTGTACTGCAGGCAGACATGTACGTAACGCATTACTATACGAGTTACTGCTACCTAGATCCTTCTTCTCGGTAATGAGTTACCTATTTGGTTTATTTTGTAGAAAAGAAACGACTGACGTACTTAGTTTTAAGGCAAATAACATGTCACGATAATCGTTACTCTTGAGGAGTGAAATGTACAACGCCTTGTAAGCAGCCTTGTTTTAATTCTAACCTGAGTATTCGTCTCTTACGACAATGGCACATGGAAAAAAACTGAAAAACAACTAAGCAGTATGACACTATAGCAACGTTTATCGCTGAACGCGTATGTCGAACTCTAGAGCTGAGAATGTATTTCACCGAGCGAACAGGATATGGATCGTTGGTCGAGCCCTGTAGAATCCTGTACGAACCGAATGCAAACCCGGAGGTTACCAACACGGGAGGCCACATAACACATTGTTATCTTCAAATTTTAGAAGCAGAGAGAACAAAAGAGAGAGAAGAATCCGAGATTCCCCAGCTCTTCCTGAAGCACAACACTGCCGTTGCTTTGAACGCGTCAGTAGAACGAATATTCACCGTCGCCGGACATGTATTATCATGGAGGCAGGTAAACATCGCTGATAAAAACTTGGAGAAGCGGCTAGTGCCTATGTGAAACGACTACTTAAAAGAAAAAAATAAACAATGAAGCAAAAACAGCTGTGAATTTGGTTGTCAAAGTAACAAGAAAATTAAATAGTTACTTTTGAGATCATGCAATGCATTCCTTTTCAGAATCGGTAAGGACTAGCGTATCTAGTTACATTTTTGAGCGAGTAACAAGTAAAAACATTAAGTGAATTTCTACGTAACGTGTACATCACTGACTGTAGCGTACAAGCGCTGGCTCAATACCAGCTAGAACACAAAACCTGCGCGTTTCCTCCTCTAAACGTCATCACGAGTAGATCCCCTGACCGCCCCTAGCTAGCCCGGATGAGCACCATCGTCTGCTACATCATCTGCGACATCTTCTGCTCCATCGCGTGCTTCAGTGGTCATGCTCAGGACAAGCTCACATTAATAGGCTGCTAAGACCGGCAGTCTTGATGGTGTCGCATGCACATTGCAAATGAACTGTGGTAGCTCGCCATCAGCTGGTGCTCAGCAGTCGCGCAGGCAGCTATGACCGCCAGTGAATGCGGCGAAGTTGTGACGTGTCCCCTACTCTCGTCAAGCTTCGGGGTGTTTGCCGCTTGGGGAGTGACGGGGATCTAGAAACTAAAGCCCCTCGATGTGTTTGCGTTTGTCTTGCAAGTAGCGTCAAATGCGCGAGTGCACAAGACCCGCGTCTCGAGCGGCCCTTGGAAGCGAATGGCGGGGCAGCACTGAAATGAGCGGCCCTAGGAAGCGAATGGCGGCGGAGCACCCGCTCGTGGCACGTGTCTCGCGCGGTTTCACAACAATGGTTGGCGGTACTTGTAAAAAACGCCTTTATCAAGGGGCTTTACTAGAAACGAAACGTCATGCGCTTGCTCTTCGTGTTCTAGGAGATATTGGCTGACGACGCCACACCTGTCGCGATATGTTGTATTTCGCCCCTGACACACCAGACCAGACTTGTACGTAATCCGTTACAACCCGAAGGAAAAATCCATCAATGTAACCCTGTTTGGCAGTCAATGTTTTCTAGTGGACCGCTGAATGTGCCTGACTGTACGTCAAGCATGTCTGATTGGCCAACAAGTTACTCTGACCGACAGTCAAACTCCAGTCAGACCCCGCTTGTCAGCTTTCTGATGGTTTCCTGGTGGCAGTCGGCCGCCGCGAAATGCCATCAGGATGTCTTGGTGGCGATTCTGATTGTACATCGATTGTCTCTGACTGTACGTCAGAAAGCTTTTACGTGCAGACACACGTACGGTCAAAGGACGTAAAGTTCGTTCGGATACCACTATTTCGTCAAATCTATGAATACGAAAAGTAATCTATGCACGAGAAAACGATTTCGGGACGTGAGCCCATAAAACCGCTGACGCTAGAGATATGAAACGTAACCGACCGACAACCTTGATCAGAAGCCCGCCGAGGCGCCGAACACGACACTTCGCACTTCGCTTCGCCCATAGAGGCTTCGCCGAGCTTTCATGAACGATCGCTCTCGACTCGTTTTGTTTGCCCCCTCGCTCCAACCTGTCGATCCTGCCCGGGCTCTACAATGTCTTGTGTTTTAGTAGAATTTCTACTCGACAAGACCCAGCCTGTTGTGAGTTCCGACGATGTAAGGGACTTTAGCGGTGTAGTTGAAGACGACAGGGTGTACCAGGTCTACTGGGCCGGTGATGCGCGAACAAAAGGATCGTTCTACGACGCGAAAATACTCTACATGGCAGGTGAGTAGAACTGAAGTACGGCGAGTGATGTACGAGTGCGTTGCATAACATGCTGACGGCTTAACTGCATTTGCAGCCAAAACATTTCGTATAAAACGAATAGTCAACTCGAGTTTCTCTAACGGTGGCGTAGCATAGCGGTTACGGTGTCCGATTTGTACCCATGTGGTCGCGGGTTCGATGCGCGGTGGTGCTGCTTTATTTAGTTTATTTTTTTTTTCGAACATTTTGTTTTATCGAGGAATTTGGCGATATTTATGAGTGCTTATAGCTTTACTTTTATATAAATGCTGCCCTTGTTGATAAAATTCTCTTGGCAGTGGCAGTCAGACGTCATCTGATGGACCATCAGATGACGTCTGATGGTCCATCACGTTCCACCAAGGCTGCTGACTGGCAGTCAGTGTCCCAAATTACGTAGCTTGATGGAATTTTCAATAGGGAAGTAACGAAATTACTTGTAATCCCTTACATTTATCAGTAATTTTGTAACGGAATAATTGCATATTTTCTGGAGTAATTTTAAAGTAATTCCTTTACGTTTGTGACGTAACGGATTCCTTGTAATCCGTTACATTTTTTTTGTCAGAACCAACCCCCCCCCCCCCCGCCTCCATTCCAAATAAAGATTTTTTTTTTTTGTAAAGTCGAACGCAGTGGCATTGTCACGCGAATCGACTAGCGTAAAGGGAGGCTTAGCACTTTTCAGTTCCTCAAAGCCTTTTTTTGCAACACCAAGCCCCTGAATCTACCCTTTTTTTAGACCCTAACATCAATGTAAAAAAAATCTAAATAACAATTCACGAAAAGAAAAAAAAAAGGGGGGGGGGGGCGGGGCAGGTTATTTCCGTTTTTTTTTTTTTAATCCCTTTGTCTTTGCGATCGAAGACGGGGAGAGGAGGACACCAAGCGATTGTGCGCCTCTTCGAGAAGCTCGAGGCGGTAAGTGCACTGAAAAGAATTAACAATGTCTTTCTCGGACATAGTGACTACGACCATTTTCATAATGTCACAACAGGAGACAACGCTCCGTCTACCCTACCCTTTCTGTGAGTCAGCTTTTTGCGAGCATTTAGAATATGGTAACAGTCTTCCTTTCTTCTTCTTCCTGTTTTGCCCCAGCTGGACGCATCTTATCTCAAGCAGATATTTTTACAAATGAAACATGATGGTAGCTGACGTAGACTTGATATTCTGGGCTTGAGGAGAGGGTGAAATTTGTGAGTGGGGCCATAGCGCTACTCTTTGCTGCTCGTGGCATCAGCGGACATCTATCTGGGGAACACCGGAGTAAACTGCAGTCGGTTCGTGCTCCGTGCGTTTTTGAACAGCACCAAGAAAGATACACAGGGTGAACGAGCGTTTACATTTCCCTGTTTTAACCGATGTTCTAATTAATTGTTGTTATGAGTGTCCTTCTTTTTCTTTTATAACTGATATTTATATACTGGAAACTTTTTTTTATTCACCAACGTCTCAAGTGAGGCTTGAACTGTTCAGAACCAAAGGAAGAAGAATATCGAGCCAAACCTTATTTATTATTTAATTATCACCTTACTGTTACAACTGTGTTTTGCTATTGATGACTTCTATGGCTTCGCGATTTAGAGAATGGAGAATTTTAGTAGATCGGTCCGATGACTCCGATAACGATATCCGATACTTCGGCGCCGTCTTTGCATATGCATCATATCGTTATCGGGTACCGTTATCGCGAATATGGGAGGTATCGGAAGGATCTACTAAATCTCTCAAATAGCAGGCAACGGCTGCAACGACGACGCTTTGCTCTACATTCGCGAGGAAAATAGTACTTCCCTTGCTTCGCTGAAAAAGCTCAATGCAGAGCATGAAGCATTCGTGAGGAACAATATGACACTCCCATCCAGTGCCTCAGCTCAAATTGTGTTCAGCGTAGCAGTCGACATATTGAGTAAGAGATAATGCAAAATGTCTGACGAGACATATAAGAGCCAGCTGTTGCTCAAAATACTCAAGGTCATTAAAAGGAACAGGTGGCAAGAATAAGAACTTGAATAACCCTCTTGCTTTTGTTTCTTACTTGATAACAATAATGTTAAAAGTAACGCCACGAAAGTAACGGATTACTTTTTCGGGTAACGGTCAGTTACTTTCATGGGAGGGTAATTGTAATCGTAATAAATTACAATTTAGCCTTGAGTAATTGTAAATGTAGCTCCTTACTATTTTTCAGTAACGTGTACAAGTCTGCACCAGACTCGCGTGGCAGTGACGAACATCACAAGCGGCACGGGACTGGCCCGAGCTACGGGCTTAGGCAGAAAAGCTAGAAACATGAGGACGCTTGGACAGACACTGGCACTGGAGGTTGAGCATCGACATTTGGTGCTCTCTGCTAGCTTCCATTTTTTTGTTCGATTATTTTTGCGGCGATAAAAATGTGTTATTTTACACGTCTTTCTGTCACCACATTGTCAACGCTTCATTTAGGGCTAGGTCAACTTCACCCACATACCTATTGTGGCATGCCCACTCTACAACTCGCAAAACCGCCACCTTCATGTCACAGGATATAAAAACGAAAGCAAGGAAATTCCAAAGAAAATCTAAAGACAAGTTTCATTAATTAATCGCTCACCTTGCCGATCAAGTGTGTTTCGTAGCCCAGGTCTTTAAAATACTCTGGCATAATTTTAAACTCCAGCGGCAGTCCATTTGGCTCGGCAGCAAGTAGCACTCCATGCTGTAGTCCTGTAACAAATGTCTATTTGTGACAAGGTTCAGACTCGGTTTTTGAGGACGTTAGTTGTTGTCGGCCGTCTAATGTTACCTCCCGAGGCTAACTAAGATATGTCAATTTGTTTGGACCGACGAAATACTTAGTGTCCACGTATGTCTACCTCAGGAGTCTCAAACTCCTTTGAGTTCGGGGGTCGGATAGCCTAAACCCTCCGGATCCTGGGAAAGAAGCGTCAAGCTCCCCGCATGGTCACTGTTTTGGTCTATGAAATGAGCGATTTCTACATTACTCTTCCGATCTTGGTGAGGCAATTCAAATTCGTTGTTGACTGGCAGCTTTATGAAGACGTTTCTTGTATGCCGAGATTCTGCTACCCACACACCCGTCGAAACAAGCGTACATCTTCGTACCAACACCATTTGTTGTGCCAGTGCTTTGAGGCACTGAAAAATAATATTACTGTTTTGAAATAAAGGTGCTCAGTGCGTCAAGGTGTGTGTGTTTGTGTTCGTTTCTAATGTGTAGTTGTGGGATGTACTTAGTACATGGTTGAAAAAATTCCGAGACTGCGGGTAAACGACACAACACTAGTAAGTCTCTACCGGGACTGTGAGTCTTCTATGTGACCGGCTATGGACTGCCCTTCTAGATGGGAACTTTCGCACTTCTTCCATGTTCACTCAGTGGCTTGCGCTAAAGAAGATGGACTATGACGTAGCTCTTAGAACTTTAAGACTTTGGATATTGCCGCGCCCAGGGCTGAGAAAGCAACGCTCGGTCACGGACCTCCAGAAAGTTCTCGTTTATTCATGTACCGCATGTAACTTCTATCATTTATTCCTGCTTTTGTTTTCTAGAAAGTGCGTGTTCATTCTCGCCCGATCACGCGACGCTCGAGCCGCTTTCGCCGAATCTTCGAGATAGCGACGCACTCTAGATAAGAGGCCGCCCGCGACCTTGTCGAGTCAGTCTCGCCCTAGCGCTCGATTCTGCTGACACGCCGACTTCGACGCCCGCGACGGTCTGCTTTCTTCTGTTTCCTTCTTTATTTTTGGCACAAGTTCGCCACATTAAACGTTTATTTATTTCTCTTTATTTCTTGTTTATTGGTCACGACTCACCACCCGTGACATTCTGGTGGAGGTGCGGGGTACCGCATGTTCGTGCAGCGCAGCCCTCCGAGTTCCCGCAGTACAAGTCCGAATCCAAGCTCCCGAGGACCCAACGAAGACCAGAACGAGACTCGATCAAGTCGCCGCACCCAAGGGCTGAACCCGGAATACGGACTTCTACCACCCAGGACCAGGCAGCCGACGATGGCCAACCAGGCGCAGACCCCGGCCGCTTCTGCCGTTGTGTACCTGCCGATCGCACCCAGGACTCCAACGCCTTTCCACGGAGACGTCCACGAGGACGTTGAAGACTGGCTGCAACACTACGAACGTGTAGCCCGCCACAACGGATGGACGACTGAACAATACCTCCACAATATCTACTTCGCGCTTGAAGGAACTGCGAGGCATTGGTTTGAAAACCACGAAGCGTCCTTCACTACGTGGGAGTCCTGCGCCGCGGAGTTGAAGCGAACGTTCCTCAACCACCACCGTCGGCAGCGAGCGGAGGACCTTCTCCAAACAAGGGTGCAGGGCCCCAACGAAAGCGTGACCAGCTTCGTAGAGGATGTCATGCGCCTATGTGCCCGAGCCGATCCGGAGGCAGCCGATGAGAAGAAGCTCCGCGTCCTCATGCGTGGCGTGAAGGCTGAAATTTTTGGAGGCCTTGTCCGCCATCCCCCGACAACCGTCGACGGTTTTGTGGCGGAAGCCACTAACATCGAGCGAGCGCTGTCGGCCCGAGCAAGCCATTATCATCGACTCGCCGGCGTGCCTGCTCCTCGAACCGCCGCATCTTGCCGACCAGACCTGAACGCCACCGGTGTCGACGGCCTTCGGGAAATCGTCCGCGACATCGTCCGGGAGGAGCTCCGGAAGCTGCTGCCTGCTGCCAACCAGCCGGCTGAGCTGTCGATCGCCGAAGTGGTGCGCGAAGAAGTCCAGCGGGCAATTCAACCGGAGGCTCCTGCCTGCGTAGCACCACCCGAAGAGCCCGCCCTGACCTACGCCGCAGTGGCCCGACGGCCACCGCCTCCTCGCCGCACCTATGTCACGCCGCCCCGACGTCAGCCTCCTGCGCCGCAGCACGACCGACGCCACGACGACCAGGTCCAGTACGCCTGCCCGGAGCCTCGCGCACCCCGCAAGACCGACGTGTGGCGAACGCCCGACCGACGCCCTCTGTGCTTCCATTGCGGGGAAGCGGACCACACCTACCGCCGATGCCCATACCGACGACTCGGGCTACGCGGGTTCCACCCGAACGACCCGCGCCCCCGTCATGGTGAACGCCCTATCGAGATCGACGAGTACCTGCGACGACCTCAGTCCCCCGAGCCTGCGTCCCCCCGAGAGTTCCGGTCGCCGTCACCGCGACGTCCAGCTTCGCCGATGCACCGACCGCGACGTGAAAGCCTGTCCCCCCTCGCTCCTCGCCGGGGAAACTAGGCGCGGCAACCCCTGGAGGTGGAGTTGCCGAAGACGACCGACGCCAAGATCCTCCACGAACGTCGGGGGGCCCCCACTCGAACGCCACCAGAGACCAAAACGACGCCGCTGCAGTGGTGTCCAATACCCTAAACGTCGTCATCGACGGCCACGACGCATCCGCACTCGTGGACACCGGAGCAGACTACTCAGTCTTGAGTGGGAGGCTCTCTCGCCGCCTTCGAAAAGTCATGACGCCGTGGGATGGACCACGAATAAGAACCGCCGGAGGACACCTCATTACACCAGTCGGGAGATGCACCGCTCGCGTCGAGATTCACGGCGAAACATGCCCTGTGAAGTTCGTCGTTCTGCAAGACTGTTCGAGGGACGTCATTCTCGGAATGGACTTCCTGTGTGAATACGGCGCCATCATCGACCTTGCGGAGAACAAGCTGACGCTTCGGAAGCCTGCCCCATCGGTGGAAAATACCAAACCGACGTTAGCTGCAGTGCGAGTCCTCGCCAGCCACGTAAACCTGCCACCGCTGTCGAGTGTATTTGTGCCCGTCGGGACCGAAGGAGCCACCTGCGGTGTAGCACTGCTGGAAGGAAGCGTCCAACTTCTCTCGGACGAGGGATTGGCATTGCAAGAGCCGTAACCGAGCTCCAGGACGGGCGTACAGTAGCCCTTGTCACCAATTTCCGGCAAGAGTCGCAGCACCTTACAAAGGGTACAACTGTGGGCTACGTCGAGGAAATCGAAGACTCAGCCGCGATCGCCGTGATCTCAGAAGACGCCTCTCCGACGCAGAACAAGACAATCACGTCCTCAGAGCCACATTAAACGTTTATTTATTTCTCTTTATTTCTTGTTTATTGGTCACGACTCACCACCCGTGACAATATATTCCCGGAGGAGGTCGAATCCAGTTTTGTCTTCCGCATTGTCTGTGCTAAAGAAGGTCGTCAACCCATGTGATGTTCATCTATAAAAACCGACGGAACGCATTCTTGCTAACGGCCCCAAAATTTTGTGTAAATATAAAACCGTCCAGGATGGATATTGTATTTCCGATTCATACTCTGTCAAGTGCCGTCTCCGACCCGGCGGTAAAAACTGCATTGATAACGTCTTCTTTAAAAAAGATGTCGGATTTGGTTGACGATTCGTACAAAAGCGACCGTAGGGACTTCAGCAAGATCGTATCAGTCAAGAGGGAATTAGATGAGAAAGAAGTAGTACTTTTTAGAAACCGATAAGTCGGGTTTGTTTTCAGTGTTACCAGTGTTGGAGTTCCGAAGGAAATCAGACGAAGCCATGGCGGGGTTGTTTAGACCTTTTGACGGTTGTTTGAAAAAGTCCAAAAGGGAAATTGTGAGGGTTTTAAGGACGACGATCTAGCAGCTTTGACCACCAGAATTAATAACGTTTCTAATGACACGTTTGTCATTAAATTTTTCCTTTAAGGGCAACTCCGCTCAATTCCGAAAAATTTAGGCTTCCATGTGATTCACATTCACAAAGCACTACTAAACAACTCTACGTCTTCGGATTTGCGAAATGTGGAATAGTATTTGTGTAATCCTAATTTAAACATCAGCAGATACCGAAACCGAAACTTCGGTTGCGTCAGGCAACATTGGTCTCGGGTCGTCAGAGTCATGGCACGTCACGTCGAACCACGTGGTCTTATGACGTTCGGGAGGGAGCGAGAAACAGGACACGCGACGCGAACAGGTCTTTTTTTTTTTTTTTTTTTTATTGGACGCGGGTTATTACCGTTTACGCCATGCGAAGCGTCGCATGGCGTGGACGGTGATGGCCCGGGGGAGAGGGGGAAGGGGAGAAGACGAAAGAGGAGAAGGGGAGCGGAGAAACCGACCGATAAGCGCGCAGGGCAGCGCAAACTAGCGCATCCGTGTTACGGTGATCACGTGAACGCCCGGTCAGCCAACACCGGGAGGACAAACTCATGACGTCATCGTTCAATTTCGCTCTGAGAAGTAAAAACAAGCAAAACGTGCGAATGACGTATCATGCCTCTGTCGTAGTGGTTCAACGTTGGCCGCTCCAAGTCCGTGGCATTGAGTGCGCTGACGATTGCGCCTCGCGCCGCACGCTAGAGTTGGCAGATTTCGCCGACTTGGCTCGCTTGAAGGTTTGCTGGCCAGTTTATTAAATATATAAACGGAATTAGATTGTAATATTTGACATGGGGTCTTCCTATATGATACTGAAGAGGGCTACATAGTTTTCTAAATATCAAAAATGAAGCGGAGTCGCCCTTTGAAGATCATAAGGTAGATCTTCCTCTAAGAGTAGTCATAAACGAGAATGGCACATGGCAGAAAATAGTGTCCTCATTTCTTCAGAAGACTCTCACGATCCTGGATACTAGATCCCCGTTGTCACTGCGGTGTTCTGATGGTTTAGTGGCTGAATTGCAGCCTTTCCACGGAAAGAAGTGCACGATATTTTCACTTGACATAAAATATCTGTACTATTCTTTAGAACCTAAGATGTTATTGGCTAGGGTCAGCAGCTTTTTGGAAGATCATTAGGTCAGTTTCCAGTCGCAATCGGGGATATCTGTTCAGGATGTTCTCAGGATTTTAGAAGTGCATCTAGGTTCTACGGTGGTGCAACATAACGGTCAAAGTTACATTCAGAAACAGGGTGTGTGTATTGGATCGGCGGTAGCCCCAACTCTTTCGGATATTTATCTAAGAGACCTAGTTCTGCGTCTTCTAGGGTCTTTTAGACATAGATCCCCTAAGGAAATTCTGGTGAGGAGGTACGCAGACGATATCTTGGTTTGTTCAACAGATGGCTCCTTAGCGGATTCTTTGGAGAAAGTAGTGTTCGAAGCAGCGCCCGAATTAAAGTTTTCGCTGGAACGACCGAGTGACGACCGTTTACAGTATCTCGATATTCAACTTAGGAATTGTTCGGGCCTTTGTTGGGAGTACGGAAAGTTCGCAGCAAAACCTCTTCTTCCTTTCAATAGCTGCCATTCTAAACATGTCAAACTGGGAATAATTCGGGATCTCGTCAATTGAACAGTACAGAAATCTTGCTCACATTTTATTGGCTCTTCTCCTCGTCGACTGACAGAACGTTTCGAGGTTGCTGGATATCCTCAGGAACATATTTTAAGGCAGTTGATGTATATGATATGTCCAAAGAAGTCAATTCAGAAAAATCATAGACCTTCAAAGCCAGTAGACCTTCCATATTTTCATAAAACTTCGCACAACATCAAAGCGTTAGCCAGCAGGTTTAATATTCGCACTGCCTTTTCTACAGATTATAGATTGAGCCGTTTGACCCCTTTTGCCTCGATGTTTCAGGTTGCATGATAAAACACAGAGAAAGGAATGTAGAAAATTCGTCGGGTGTCGTTTACAAGATACCCTTTGACTGTGGCCTCTGTTATATTGGACATACTAAACGCTGTATAAATGAGCGCTTTTTGGAACACAAACGTTGTATAATGGAAAAAGACCCGTACTCCGAAGTGTCAAAGCATGTTATCGAATGTAGGAACTGTGCACCGTTGTGGCATTTAACTTCAGAAGTGTTGCGGGAAAAAGAGGACCATAAGCGATTGATAAAAGAGTCATTAACAATACTAGGTCACAGGAACGTAGTTAATAAGCCGTCGTTTGGGTTGGACAACGAACTTCGGGGTTTTCTTAGGCTGCGAAAAGTTCTGACCTTCAAGGTTTATCTTTGTAGGTTTTCTGGTAGAAGAAACGTTAATTTTCTTTTTTTTGTGTGTGATAATGGGTTAATGTAGGTTTTCGGGTAGAAAAAACGCTAAGTCGTCTTTTGTGTGTGTGTGTGTGTTAATGGGCTTGGGCTTTCCAGTGTGTTTGGCGGTCGGGTAGCGAGGGGTCAAAGATAAGAGAGGTGCATGACGCAGAGTTCGTTGTCCTTGTATTTAGTCAATGGTTACATTAGTGGAAAGTGGCATTCTTTGGAGTTCTCACCCTCTCCCCCTTTTTTTCTTTTGTATCGAAGTGCCTATATAACCAGATTTCGGAAAATAAAAATTTCAGCTGTGTTAGAGACTTTTTAGTGTTGTGTCGTCTACCCGCAGTCTCGGGTTTTTTTCAACCATGTGCAATGTACACCAGCTCGTTTGCGCCCTAACTTTTTGTACTTAGTAGTTCAAATACCACAGGTACAGCATATACTAACAAAATGTGAATAAACGAAATTAGATATATAGTGAGCCGGTTTCTAATGCGCAAATGGTATCTTGAGGGGCAAGAAATTATACTTTTGGCGTATCGACAATTTTTTCTTTTTAATATTTATGGTGCATTTTGAATCCCTTACCTGCGTATTTTGAATGTGGGCAAAATAATATAGAATAAATACAAAATTATTCAATATATTTCAACTTTGTTTCAAGTACGGCCTCTTTTTGCCAAGGGTAGGTCGTAATACCGGGGAAACGCCACAGTTTAATTTCACTTCCTCTGGGTTAGTTTTCTACTTAATGTATTAATCTAATCTGCCGGTTAGTATATATCTGACTATTACAATGCAGGAAGGTGAAGAGACTTGGCTTGCTTCTAGTTTACCAGCTCGCAGAAGAACCAACGTTCACCAGCTACGTCCTTCTGCTCGAGCTTCGCCCGCGACGACCGCCCATTGCAGTCATAACCCCAGGCATCTTCGGGACTCTAACCCCGACTGTACAAGCGTCAAGCGCCGGCTAAAACAATCACACTCATTAAAAGCGCTGCGATCACGCATTCGATTCTATGCGTGCCGTGTTTATCACATGATAGCAAACTCACAAATACAACGACCAACGGGACATTGCAAGTTTTGCGCCCCTCAATTGTTCCCATCGATTCGCAGTGTCGGTAGAGCTTGAATTAAGTCTGAAAGGGAGCGTAACAACATATTCAACAATGAACCGAAGTTGCAGACATACCAGTGTGTATGGGGTACATCCCGGTCATGAGCGCGGCCCTGGATTGTGTGCATACCGGTTGAACGTAGTAGTTGTTCAGGATGATTCCGTCGGCAGCAAGAGCGTCCATGTTTGGAGTCGGGATCTGGGGAGACCCGTGAAAGCTGACGTCGTCCCAGCCCTGAAAGAACGCCGCCCTCACCGTTGTCAGAGGCGAAAAAGACTTTTCACGTACATTTATCAAATTGTGGCGAGGGTGAATGACGTGCTGTTGGGAATTCAGGACCGTTTAACACACAAAAGGCTCCAAAAGGGCATGTTCTATTGGAAAAAAAAAGACGTTGAGGTGAGTTCCATTTTTTATTTCGCTTAGAAATGCGGGGGTCGTAAGTGTATTTGAACACTCTAGCAAATCCTGCGGATCAAATGACGAAGGAACGCATAAAGAGCAACATTTGACATACATACGGTTTTGAATGTAAAGACGTCAAAACATTAAGGCTTAGGCGCACATTCGCGTTGGAGCGCGTTTAAGTGCGTTGCGGCGTCCTTGCGGCCAGGAGCGGTCGCTTGCGGTGCGACGAATGCCGTCCCGGAACGCTCGGTAGCGCGACGCGAGAGAGTAGAGACACTCCCTCAACACTCTCAACTTTCCAAGGCGTTGCGGTGAGTTCGACCAATCAGAGGCCGAGCAAGGAGAGGAAGGTCACGTGGTCTCTCGCGCCATTCGACTGTGCGTTTCTGGTACTCCGTTCGCGGAACCAGATTTTTTTTTTCTTTTTTCGTTTTGGGGGGTGGTGAGGAATGCGGGAGGACATTTTTTCAAAGACTGATGGCTCGAGCCGGACGGAATGTCGTGGAAGCCAGCAGGATTTTTTCATGATCGACCGCTTCGTCGACCCTGGCGCTGGGTCCCGCCTTGTTGCCGTGAATTTCGCTTGTTATTGGTGAGTCGCTAGCGACGATATGGTGTTCTTATAATCTCTTGATTACGAATGACTGCGCGTATATGTAACTGTATGTACAGTCGGGGACAAAAGTCCCCAGGACGCGCGCGCTGCGCCTGAAATGCATTGCTCTGCCATCTGCCGGCGGGTCGCCTGGTTTCGAGATCACACAAAAGCGCATGCGCGCTCTACTGTGCCTGCAAACATGTCTGTTTTCCCGCTCTTCTGCGGCGGGGAGCCTAACTCGGAATCGGGCGCGTGGTACCGCCTCGGAGATAGCGCTTACTGACATGGCATCTGTAATGCAAGGAGTCACGGCAGCTCGACCGAGCGATAAGCTCAACTAGTTATAAAGCAAGATGCGCTGACACGGCGAAATGCGGCGCAATGCCGCAGGTGGTATCTCTAGTTTCGGGATGTGTAGCAGACGCTCGTCAGCCGCAAGCGCTATCTCCGAGGCGGTACCACGCGCCCGATTCCGAGCTAAGCGCCGCAGAAGAGCGGGAAAACAGACATGTTTGCAGGAACAGTGGGACGCGCATGCGCATTTGTGTGATCTCGAAACCAGGGGACCCGCCGGCAGATGGCAGAGCAATGTGTTTCAGTCGCAGCTCGCACGTCCTGGGGACTTTTGTCCCCGACTGTATAAACTTGGTGCAAGCGCTCTTTGCAGCGCTACGCGTTCGTTTCCCGCTATGGAACACACGACGCTGAAACGCAGATGTTCGTATGGGCTTTTCCTCCGGATCGAGATTGAGGACCACGTCCGCGAAAAGGCGCAGATTCGGCCAAGGCGTCGCGTGTCGAAGCCTGACCGGGCACAGGTAACGCGGAGGCTGTTTTGTGTGCCAAGGCAGATCGGCGCCCCCCCTGTTTAGGCGTCCCGCGCTTTCTATGCCGATACTTCAACCGTCTTCTCTAAAGCCATTGGACGCCAGTTATCTGCAGCTTTACCTAAATTACACAAACCGCTTTTACGTCCTTCAACAATGTTCATCATGTCCGCGACAGAGCGATAGAACATCGCTTGAGCTTCCCGAGATCGCTAGAAAGGCTCACGGTGGTCGCATTTTCGAATTGTTACCGTCGCCAATTGAGCTTGCTCTGCACCCTGCTAGATAAGGATCACGCAAATAAGACAATCAAGGAGTGAAGAACCTATACTCCAAGTGTGGCTGAGAACGATATCCTAGCTCTCGGGCAAGGTGGATAATAAAAGTTATACGATTTAAATCGTGATTCATATAGCGATTTAGGTGAGACCAGTACGTTACTCTGATAATTTCACGTCATACCTTGTCCACACAAATAATCCAGACATTATTAATATTTACCGTTCGTTTGTCATTTGATGCTGTCTATATGTCTAAACCAGAATGTAAAGGAAAAAAAAATGGGAAAGTAGTGTTTCATTGCAATTAAGTCAGACCTCAAAAGAAAAGTAAGGTCTAGTTTCTTTTAGTAGCTAAAAAAATCGAACTGTTTTAGTTCTAGTGTAGCATGTATTACAAGAACAAAACTTGTTAATTAAACTGCACTTTAAATTTACTGTTTATTTTATCGCAATATTATTGCAATTTTAGAATTAATCAGTGAATCTGCCCTCCCGATAAAAATTCATCTAGCGGAAAGGAATCACCATTTTAGATGTACAGAGAGTAAAATCAAATTATTCTATATAGGTAAATACAATTTGACTAATTAAAACGCTATATAATTAAAAACAAAAATCACCTTGTCTTAGGTGTTACATATATACGTTTTATATTGTTCCCAGGTGTGCTGCCGTCAGTTTTGAAGCTGTGGCTGAGAGGTGAAAAGCCAAATAGCACTGATCTAGATGACAATCTGTTTTAATGGCAAAACCACTCTCAGGTAAAATAAATAAATAATAAACAGACACTTTGTTCTTCCTGCAGACGGAAGGCTCTGCGAGGGCAGGTCTCAATAGAATCATATCAGGTGTAGGCCGAGCCTTTAAACTCAGTTCAGCTTCAGGCCATAGGAAGAAGGAAGTATTTATGTTTAGACATCACACAAATACAACTATTGAGAACGCTACTTTTAGCGGAAAAAAAACTAGGACGTTCTTATCAACAGTAGTAACAGGGTATAATGCGTTCTATCGGGAAGAAACCAAACTAAGTTGTAAATTTTGCTGCTTTTTAATACCACCCCTGTGAAAACGCCAAGGAGCGCCAAATATGATGTTCACACTAAAAATGTATTTATTTTACAATTTCAATACTTTCAGCGCCCAGGTGCATTATAGAAGGGAGGGGCCAAAACAGAAACTAAGTAATAGGATAAAAGTAAGTCTAGTACAAACCTTTCAATGGAAACATGAGCAGGAATAGATTAACGAAAATTCACCGAAGACGCTTAAGACTTTCTACGTGTAGGAATGCGAAAGCATTATAGTTCTGCGGGTGAAATGTTTTCAAGTACTCTTTCTAAACGTATTAATGTTGTTTTTGCTGGTATTGTATTTGCGCTGGGTGTGTGTCGTCCTTTTGCAAATGGCGCTCCGGTGATGACGTCACGCTCGACCACTGCGCCGGCCCCCGCCGGCTCCACGGCTTCTGTGAAGAAACATCTGCTTTGCTGAGCTTTTCTTTGTGCTTTATTTCTGAGACGCGTCCGCTTTGACCTTGCGCCCCCCCCCCCCCCCCCCCCCCTGACTTCCGTCAAGAAGAATCTGTGGTGCTGTGCTTTTTTTGTGTTTTATTTCTGAGGCGCGTCCGCTTTAACCTTGAGTGGCGCGTGCTTGTCGGCATGTTTTTTTTATCTTCGGGCACAACGCCGCTGCCTTTTCGCCTAATGGAACAAGTAAAAGTTTCGCTTTAAACGTTATTGGTTATCGCAATTCTAAGTGAATCAACTCGTGAAATATACAGTAAAGGTGCGGGAAGGCGGTTGCATTGAGATGATGTTTTGCGAATGAAGAAGTTAATTTGACAACTGGTTGGGACAGAAATGAATTCCGACTTTGAACTGATGGTCAATGCTACGGGAAATGCACTGATGAGGAAGCATAACCTCATCTTTAAAGCGGGGTTAAAATAATACATTTGATAGTGCGAGTTAAAACGTATTTATTTAACGATCAATACATTTGATAAAAAAGACACAAACGAGAAATTTGGGCGACGCAACAAAAGACTAAGATATAGGTTAGCTTTCATGAATTGCTTGAGAAAATAAAACTCTCACTGCGATCTTGCAGAATCCTACGTTTAGACACGAGCGCGGTGTGACCGGTATCTCAGACTGGTCCAGCATATTCTATTTTAGAACGTGCTATGGTCTTAAATAATATAGTTTCAGGACACAGGGGTTAATGTAAAAACGAATAGTGTCACCTTGTATAGAAGGCATCATGTATAAACGCCGCATCAAAGCACGGTTTGTTTCAACTACTGATTCCTACCACTGGACTGATTTTTATTCTGTTTAATCATCAGTCTTAAGAGCAGCAAAGTGAGGGGATACTAGGCAAGCCTTCCCGTTCTACGCCCAACAAAAGTCAGGGTTTCACGATACAAATACGTATGTCGTGATAGCATTTCAGAAATATATTATGTATTTATATTTCATCCCCCACCTTAACGCCGAAGACCTCTTCGACGTTAAGGCGGGGGCTGCCTAGATAAAAACTCCGTTTTGCTTAAAAAAGACCTTCGGGGTGTCTGAGATCCATGCCTAAAAACCTATGCAAAGGCTTTGACCTGCCAGCCTCGAGAAACGCGATAGCCGCCCCCTCTAAAATGTACTTTATTATATTTTTCTCCCCCTAAACTAACAAACCCGATGTTCTGCTCCGCAGCATCATATCAGAAAACGGTTGGTGATAAAAGCGTCTGGCATCCTTCCTACTCAAGCAACTATCCTCTCTCATAGTCCCTCAACATTTCCGCATCACCAACTCCACTGACCTGATCTAACATCTAATCAGCCTCCGTGACCCGCCTCCTCCCCTCGGACTGTTCTTCTTAGACATGGAAGACATGTATTCTAATCTCGATATCGGTTTTCTGCTTGAGTCCGTCAAGAACGCCATAGATAAGCACGGGATGTGCAAGTTCCAAAACTCGTCGGGAGTCTTTGTTAAAGGTTGTTTTTTTTTTTAAATATACATTCAGTAGGCAGGCGTCTGCTTCGCGACATCTTCCTAATGCATTCTTAGTGACATCCTTCTAATGTATGTGGATGGGGCAATAAAGGCAAACTGGACTTCACGGTACCCGGGTGCCAGGTCTTCAGTTGAGGAAGATTACTATCTGGTAGTGCACCAGGAACAGACCCTACTTAATACCATCGTCAAAGCTCTCCCACCAAGCCCCTCCCTCCTTATGTTCAAAAGAGAGGACACTGAATGGTGTAACCTCCAATTCCTGAACCTACGCCTTAGTTATCGAGCCGGGAGATGTGCTGAGAGTCCAAACAGAGAGAAGAAAAACCAGTTTTGATTGTAAAGCAGTAAATGCAAAGGTGCAAGCGAGCTGGACAAGAATGACGATAATAAGTTCAGGAGAAGCGAACCAAAGGTCAAAGGACAAACACCAGTCCCCTAGCAGTGTTTGGAGCTTTGTGTTTCTCCTTTGTCCCCCTTGTTTCCTTCCTCCGAGGCTTATTATCGTAAAACCAGCATTCCCCTTCACCAGCGCCCACTAAAAAAACAGTCAAGCTACACTTGGTTAAATAACTCCTGACAACTGCGCGGGCCAAGTTCTGCCCTCATCTTGCCACACATCGCGTTAGCTTCCAGAATGATAGACTGAAGACAGGCTACCTAGAAGACCTTCTGGCAAATACTCTAAAGAGCCTTACCGCCTCCTCCAACACACCTTCCTCTACACCTCGACCCCACTGGAAACAATTCGCAGTCATTTCGTACATGCACAGCAGAGTACATCGCCTCAAGGCGCTCGCCTCACGTTTCGACGTAGGAGTCGTCTTCAAGTGTAAAATAAAACTCAAGGAAAAATGCTGGCAGGTTAATACTCCTTCCACTCCAAACCCCTGCCCCAAGAAACTTGAAAAATTCTTCATTCCCAGCCGGAGGGAGGGAATCTTTTCCATCTCTTTTTCTTGCGGAGGAGAATATATGGGATAAACGGGCCTATACCTAAATGATTGCCTGAGAGCGCACTTCCTAAAGGGGCGTCGGATCCAGCGAGAACTCGGTGCACCCGATAGCAGTACATCGTTGCTCATGCGGAGGATGCACGTCTAGGTTCACGAAAACGTGCGTTCTCGAGCGGCATCCTCAAAGATTCGGAAGGGAAGCAATGAAATTATTTGCGACAGAAAAAAACTCTGGCTTCAGTGTCGTTTACCCCTCGCTAGCCCTCTCTGATAGAGAAATGGATTTTCTGCGCCTGGAAATGTCCGTAATTACTAGACGACCTCGCTGAACGGCCCGCCCCCAAAGGGTAAACACCCCCCCTGACCTTCTCAGCCATTTTTCTTTCACCTGACTTCTCCCTCTGCCTCTTCCTTTTCCACTTTTTTCTAAGAAAGCGCGGGGGAACGAGCGATCACATTCCGTGGAATTAACTTTGTTCTGAATTTAAAGAATGTACTCGTCTGTGTGTTGTCCTCTTCATGTTCTATCATTCCTATTATCGAGTATACTTTACCACCAGGCTCGTTGGAGACATATTCTCTATTGTGTTAAGGGATTCGAGTGCAAAAGAAGTGAAGTGTAACATTTTCCTAGAAACTGATGAAACATGCAACTTTCGAGACTGCTGATTTGGTCAAACGACAGGTGGTCTATAGATATATAAAAAAAGGAATACCAAAGAAACCCAGCCTTCAACTACGTACAACGGACGGATTTTCCGTTCAGAATTCGTTCGACTAAATCGCTAATATCTTCAAGACGCGACACCAATAAAGCTTCGAGAATGGGACCACGATGTAGATATGTCACCTTGGATGCTTTCGCTGTTTCCACTGATGGCATGTGACAGCGACGAGGAGCAAACAATGTAAAGCCATCATTGTTTCTCAAGTTTTGACTTCATTTTCGTTCATTCGCTAGCTATGAACTCGAGATGTGCCACGGTATACCAGTTATGGCGACTCCGATGAGACTGTTTTATTGCGGTTGCCCCGCTATGCCTTCTAAAAGCTTGTTTCATCGCGCCGTAGGTTTCTGCGATAAGTGGCTCTTGTCTTCACTGCGATAACGACGCTGCAAGGGCATGTCGGGCTATAATCCTGTGCTAGGTGCACGTTCCAGAAAATGTTGACGAAGATTGGTCCACTCGGAATGGAGGCTGTGGTTGTCCGCCCTTTAACATTTAATCTCAGCGGTTAGAATATCCAATTCGAGCACGATCTTGTCTAGAACACTTGCAGTGTTTACAAGACGTCCGCAGGTTCTCTGTCGTTGTAGTATTCTGGAGATGAGTTCCTTTCAATCCAAGTATGAGATGCTCCAGATGATACCTGTGAGGTATTGTTGCCATCAAAAGCTGTGTGGTTTCGGTGGGAGCAGGCATTTCATCGGAATGTGATGGAACCTAATGTCATCAACGTATTTTATTTTTCGAGGCTACATTTCTGCTGTTGCATTGATTTTCGCGATTGCAACCACCAGAGCAATCTGAGACTTGATTGGTTGCAAACTATGCCGGGTGGTGCACGCTCACAAAGGACCTTTTGTGGTGACATCAGGAAATAAGATGTAATTTCAAATTGAAATAGTACTAAATTACATTACAAATAAAATGACATTGTCTTCGTCGTAGTCGTCATCGTACGACATTTTCGTTGTACCATAACCACGAGGACGACATTTTATTTTGAAAACGGCAGTTGATGACGATGGACTAATAGCTTTGGAGGATGGAAATGCGGATTTTCCCTTTGATATGGGACACGTGAACATAATATGCTGAATGTTCCGGCGAAGATAACTTGTTTGATAGTAAGGGACAGCATCTAATTATCTCTCGAATCCTAAATAAAATTACAGCATTTGACGATAAGAATAGGAAAGAACGAGCCACGACGCAAGGACCATGATTACAATACGGCATGTCTTGCGTTTGTTTTTAAAGACGTGGTTAACCATTGATTACATTCGGACGACCAATCCTATGATAAAATAAGCAAGCCTATGATAAAATAAAGTATAAGCAAAATTTAGCCGCAATGGCTATAAAAAAAACGAGCATTTTTTGTGTTCCATTCAGTATGTCCAAACATACGCTACACTAGGAACGATCTAAAAAATGAAACCCACCTTTTCGGCCCGATTAAATAATCTACGAAACGCAGACAGCTGGAACTCCATTAGAGTAACGCTGGCGATGGAGATACATTGTGAATGTTTGAGCGCGTAACGTTGCCTGATTCAAAGGACAGAAAACAAAAGTTATGAGTCGGCGCCCACCTAAGCCTAATATTTATGAACCCAAAATTTTAAATTATGTGCGCCTGCTAAATCCATTTCAGTAAAAGAGAGAAAAAAACTTGTTGACATGAAAAAAACAAAAACAATATTGCATCTTCTACTGGCATTTTTTCCCCACCCCCACTGAAATGAACGCCCCAGGTGCCCCCAAGGCAACTGAGACGTGGCCTCATAAAAAAAAAATTATTTATTTTCTATATTTTGGTTAATGCAACGTTATGTGCTCAACGATTCGCATATTATTTTCATAGCTAGCTTTAAATTCTAACCGATTTCCAGCTCTCTGCGATGCCTAGTTCATTTATGCGGGGGGGAAAAAGGGGTCATTTTCTCGACTGAGCCCGGCGCACAGGTTAACTAAGAGTATGAAAGAACGCTTTTACTTACCAGGCCATCCACAAGCATGAATATAATGTTGGGAGGTAACTTTGACGCCGATGAACCCAACACGAGGAAGACTAGCAGCAGTACCATTGGAAGTCGGGTCTTCTGGCAAAAAAAGCGAGTGGCAAAAATAAGTTAAAGTTCCGCCAGTTCCAGGTATCGTTTTGCTCGTTCAGAAGACAGTCACCTGCGTTGTCTTATTTTATTTTTCAAAAACAACATAGCGGGTTTTTACTAGAAAAGTGAGATAATCATTCAGATAGATAAAGCTCTTGGCAGAGCCATTAATATTCTGGGAGATTTAGATGAACGACTTTCGTCTCAGAAGCGATGGTTGATCATAAACATGAATGCTAACATTCGAATTCAGGAACTACTTCCTCATGATAATTGGCTTTTCGGAAGGAAATATGGCATATTTAAATTAAAAATACCAGGTTCGTGTTAAAGATATAGTCGGTTGTACATAATAATTGCCACACCCCTAACAGATTTGTGTTTACACCGACAGTAGAAAGATGAAATCGAGTGCTGATCAGAGTATAAAATATGCTGGAAAGAGTTGTGGTTTTACAAATAAATATCCGGCCTTACCAGAAGCAGCACTAATACGTGCATCGATTCTAAGCAGAACGCAAGTCCGTCTGATTCTTGCACACGGGTTGCGATGATGATGTTCAAACACCGAGCTGTAAGTGGCTAGCTAAAAAAAAAAATAGCGGGTAGACCTTAAGGTATCTAGCATTCAGGTCGACACTCTAAGAAATGCCTGCGCGTCTACTTACCCGCAAAGCACTCGAAGAGCTAATCTCTGCGAACTACGAAATCAGCTCAGAGAATGATGAGGCGGAACATCTGTTTAGACCTCGAAATTAAGTCTGCGCTGTGGCATAACGCAATGCAAGCACGACGCTTTCGCATTGCGTAATGCCACAGCGCTGACTTCATTTTGAGGTCTAAACGAATGCTGCGCTTCATCCTTCGCTGAGCGGAATTCGTAGTTCGCAGAGACTGACTTTTTGAGTGCTTTGTGGGTCAGTAGACCCCCAGGCATGTCTTAGAGCACACCCACTATCTTTCAAAGCCGAAGCCAATCAGAACTTGGCGTCGTTCTGAAGTCACCGCAACTCCTGCGCAAGACGCAAACGGCTTTCTCTCTGCACAGTCACTGGCATCAGCAAACGCAGAACGTGGTGAGTCACTAGAATCATAATGTCGCTTCGGGAACGATGGGATTTCTGTATTGTATTAGCTAATAAGAGTGTTGTTCAACGAATCAAAAGCATGGAGCATAAAGCAATCAGCCGCGCGCTGCTTTTCATCAAATATCTGTAAATATGGTGATCATTGGAGTCCTTTGGAAGTGAGTTCAAGAAATTCGCTAGAACTAACCATCAACCGATCGTTTCATCATGAACGCAAGTGCTAATAGTACAACATGTTTTGAAATCACTAAAAATTTGAGTTTTTTTTTAATTGATGCAGGAAAATAGGGACGTTAGAAGAAAGTAATTTTTTACCCTGTTCTATGCTTTCTCCGCAGCCAATCAAGCGCGACAAAAGTGGATCGTAACGATTCTCGTCGGCTTTGTTCGTTACCTGTTACCGTGTAAACCAGGGCCCGTAAACTCGTCGAACACAAAGTTGGAGCCGAAGATTCGCGGCGGTAGAACTTCAACTTGGCGGACCATACAGCATTTACTGTTAAAATTTGTGTTTTAAGTTACTTGTTTTGATCATGCACACATACATTGGTGGCGTAACAGCAAGCCGGATCGAGAATGACTCGACAAAATCGCGGACAGCTCCTTATCTACTGTGCATCACTATCTGGAAAGTTCGGCAAAAAAGATTTGAGCGTTGCGCGCACGGGGCAAGAATGAATTGGCAATTTCGAGAACAAGAAAGCAGGAATAAATGATAAAAGGTTACGTCCGGAGCAAGAATAAACGCCAATCTTCTGGAAGTTCGTGCCTGAACGTTGCTTTCTCGGCTCTGCAGGCGGCAATGTACCGTGTGAAACAATTTAAGAAAGAAATATATTTATATATATATATACACAAATATAGATCGCTCTCCTCACATACTGCTTGTGCACCCTCCTCCTCTTCCGTGTCTCCTTCCTCCTTCGTACCCTCCTTTTCCGTACCCTCCCTTCCTCCTCCTCCGTACCCTCCACTTCTCCTCCATACCTTCCCCTCCTCCCACAGTTTCCAAGATAAAGTTAGGTGGAAATTTAAAGCCACGTGACCTCAACACCAATTTAATTTCGCCGCTAAATTTAGGGCGGGGGGGAATTATGTCACTTAACTTCGTTTCACGTCAGCTGCAAACAAATTGAGTCTTCCGCTAAATGGAAGTCACGTGACCTCAACGCGAATTTAAATTCCATACTAAATTCAGCGGGGAAAATGAATTGGTGTTGAGGTGATGTGGCGTCAGTTTTACAGCAAACTTTAGCGGGGAAACTGAATGCGCAGTGTTGCATTATGACAGTAGTTCTCAAATCGGGATCGGCGGAGCCTTTGAGGTCCGCAAAGGCATTCTATGTGTCTGCAAAGCTTCCTCTTGTCAGTCAAGCCTCGGCAATAAAAGCTGTATTTCTTTATTTTTTTTTTCCAGATTGAGAAGAAACGTTTTAATTTTCGGGTGAGTTTTCCTGCCTGAATGCCAATGAGAAAAGTCTACCTCACGCAGCTCTCTTTTATATTCATTTATTAAATCATTATCATAATTAGCCCATACCTTTTCCCTCACCTCACCGTAAACAGGGTCCTCCATCATCTCCGCCGATCCACAAAGGGTCCGCGAAACATCGATGGTTGAGAACCACTGCATTATGAGATGACACAGACCTACACCCCAATTCAGTTTCTTTGTTAAATTCAGCGGAGAATTGAATTGGTGTAGTGGTCTGTGATGTCCCATAATGTAACAAGCGCGGTTACGCCCATGGCTGCGGCGACGACGACGTCGACGCCGCTATACGCGGAAACGGAAGGCTAAGAGCTGCGCTCTAAAAACATAATTTAATCAGGGCGATCACTCTCTTACCACCAGCGAGAGAAAATAAGAAATTAACGCAGTCACATCTTTACTGTAGCGTTCAGACAGCATTGTATATCACCCGTAAAACATAGACGACAACGGAAACTCTCCGGAAATTACTTTTTCCGCTAAAATAAATGCAATGAAATAGTATCTGACAAAACTATGTACACCCATCCGTCTCTTTTAGGACGTCGTGCAGTATATAGTATACGATTCTTGTCTTCAGGTTTCTGGTATAGCAATGCGCTATTTATAACTTACACGTAACTGCTCCAGTCAATACTTGCAGCACATTTGTCCACAACGTGATGCAATAAATAGATCAGTTCCACCGACTACAGTATTTTGTGCTTTTGGGTTATATTATGGTAGAGTAAAGGCAGTGTGTGCAGCAAGGAACGAATTTTTCAGATGATAAAAATCACCGAAAAAGTGACAAGGAGAAAAGAAGATAACACATAACAAAGACAGGCACGTACTCACAAATGTTGTATACCAGGTGAAAAAAGGAAAGATGAAGCAAGGTTCATTCATGACAAGTGACACCAGCACCAGGGGGAATATGCTAAACGTTTTCCAACTCTTCCAGCCCACCATCTTACTACAGTTTATTTCCTCTACATCGGGACCTTCTGCCATTTGTTCTCTTCCCCTGACTAGCCTCATTCTTCTGGTCAACCTGGCAGCCCAAAGTGTGTGCAGCGCCCGGGTGGCATCGTGCCACGTCAAACAAGCTACCTGTCCAACTGGTGGCTTCGAGTGAAAAAGAGGTGGCCTTTTTGTGATAATTTGGCTGCGATTGAACTGTATTCCCTCTAGAGCCGGTGTCCCCTGTCATGCATGAATGTCTATATTTTCAATTACTATTACAGCAAAGCTGAGTACGCGCTATACTATTATGCCAAAGCTGTGAGTACGCGCCTGTATGCGTTGTGTGTTCCTTTCTCTTTTGTCCTTGTCTCTTTGTGTGTGATTTTTCATTGTGTTCAAAGTTTATCAACTCGCCCAGCTTACCACCCTGCTAAAGAAATTTGAAAGTAAGGCTATGAGGATTACATCAGGCATAGTCAGGGGTAGCATACGAAACGAAGCCGGGTTTATTACACCGAAGTGTCTTGCCTCATGACTGATTCTCTGGCGTCCTTACCAGCCAACGCCGTATTATCATTGGCAGAAGAATGATAATAATATGCACGACACTCGAGATGCTGCGCGTTTCATAAGTTGTTTGTGATCATAGTATTCATTACCACATCGTGTGGTAACGAAATAATTTATATGCCATTTATCCTTTTTTGTTGATTTATAACGTAAATCAAAAGGGGTGACGATATCCGTTGCCCATAAGTGTGATTAATATTGTAAAGAACAAACTTTGGTTACAGTACCAAATCTGATTAAGTTGCACACTCTGATCCAGATATCGGCTTAACGAATGCCGCTTAACGAATAGAGAGCGTGAGAAATCCCAATTATCATATCATCGTGCCAGATTAATCATATTGCGTAATTAGCTGAGAATAACGCCAAACTACGAATAAGGAAAAAAACAGACGATTATGAGACACGCCTCAATTTTCTCAATATCGCAATAATTATAGGTACCGATTTCGGGAAGTAAATGCATAATGTCTTTAAAAATAAATATGGTATGTTAATAAACTTACATTTTCGGCAGTGTGATTCCGAAAAAGGCGTGGAGTCGAAAACTTGGATCTTGAGTGAGTATACCTCGAAAAATGTCAGGAAAATAACACCATTAACTACTACGAGTTTAAGTAGGAGTTTCAAAGCGAGTTCTACTTTTTTGTTGTTTCCAGTCTAGACACTTGTGGCAGAGGTGCTAAAAAAGATAGGCCTCAATTCAGCTGGGTGCACGTGGAAGAGCGTATGTCGTCACGGCCACATAAAAAATCCGCAATCGTAAGTGGGGTTCTTTTTTACGAACCTTGCTGCAGACGGTGTGCATGTCACTTTCGTCATGCTGCGCATAAGTTTTCACGTGTCATCTAGTGTCACTAAGTGTTAGAGTATTCAGC